CAGCCCTTAGACCAGTGTCCTTCCCGTGCAGCTGACCCCAGAAATCAACTCGCTTGAGTGGAGAAACAGGCGATTGGTGCTTTTCCTGTGTTTGCAAAAGAGAATAGAAACAGGCATGGATTCATGTGGTTCTGGTGAGCACACTGTCAGCACACGAGCCCGCGGGCTGCTGGTTCAGTTGAGCGAACGTGGCTCTGAGGGTCAGCCGTGTTCGCAGGTAATTGCTGGTGTGCAGACTGCAGAGGCGGACTTGCCAGGTACTGGCATGTCCCACCTGTCACTTGGGAAAGTGTTTGGAAATAATAGCCCAGATGCAGCAAAACCGGACGAGGGATGGTATAGTGGCCTTTCCCTTTGTTTAATTTGCCTCTGAGGTTTAATTTTCAGGGGACAAGTAATAATTGAATATGCCTAATAACTAAATGCTCATTTGGGACAAAATCCATCAAAATATAATTGGCATTTGATTTTTATGGAGGGGGAAGGAAACGGATTCGGCTGTGGAGGATGCGCTCTAGGAACATCTGACCACTTCATGTATCCTTCGAAGCCGCCTTTATGATATATATTAATTGCAAATACTTGGGCATTTGAACATTTTCTCGAAGAACCGATAGGAGAGACCAACTGTTTTTGTTAACGTTCCTGGCGGAAAGGCGGGGAAGGTTATTGGTCTGCTGTGCAATAATTTACTCCTCTTTGATATGCAAACGATCCACGGTGAATATAAAAAAATCCTATCAGACTCATTTCACAGTTCTTAACCACTCGGATTCTCTGGAGTCCATCGCCTCATTAGACCAGCGCTCTCCAATGCTGGCATAATTAAAATCTTTAACAGTTTAGCAAAGTAAAGATGTTTGGCTGATCACGTTGAGATGATTATCTCTCCATTGTATTCTAAATGACAAAAATAAATTAAATTTAGACCTTGGCATTTTTTATTATGTGTTTCAAATGAATATAATGCACACAGCCTTCTCCTTTAATTCAATACCTTCAGTTTGGTAAGAAACATGCCTCTTTCGGCTCCTGCTACTTACCCAGAAAATGGCCGGCTTCGCCCGCTGGCTGTTATTGCTGAGTGGAAACAATGACCAGCCGTCCACTAGGCCGAGTCTAAGTCGGAATTGCCTGACGAGGTTCAGGGGTGTGATTTCTTTTTGGGGTTCTTCCAGAGGAAGCGGCTGCTGCTGGTGGCTGGTAGCTCCGATAGAGGCTTGCGGTTGCGCGTGTGCATGCCCTGGAATATGCATGGAGGTAGAAATTGGGCATGCTGGGCCACAGGGGCTGCTGCCAGGGTAGACTAGCAGTCCAGGATCGTCAGGGTGTGTCCTGGTTGTAATTCTTCCTGGGAAAAATACTGGTGCCACTTCACTCCTTTAGACCCATGTTCACTTTGACCCCCTTGCAAAACAGAACAACTTTATTGCCCCAAATTTATTTTACATCTTCGTTTCATTCAGCGATGGTTCATTAGCATTGATTTAAGAAATGACAGTAATAATAGTGTTACTTGTGTAAAAAGTTATACAGTTTTTCAGTAGACACATCCATCAATTAAGCATGTGGTACAAGAAACCAAAATTAATGAGGAAGATAGGTGTGTTAATGAAATAATCATAGTATAATCAATTTGACTGTTAAAAGTTGAAAAGCATTTCAGGAAGACGATATGAATTCATAATTTATGTCTAAAAGTGATTAATAAAAACTATATTTAATAACAAAGCTATTTGTCATCATTTAAGACTTAAGCACAAAAATTATTCATTTTGTGGCCCGCATTGTCATAAGAATGTAGTTGAACAGTTTCATTCTGGGCCCTTCTTTGTGTCTGGAGATAAGGTGCCGTCCTCAGGCTTTTCCTGAAATTGGGAAGCAGCAGCTGGGCGGAGGGAGGCGGGTGCTACTGTGGCAGAGTAGCTGCTGGGCCCCTGTCCCTGGTCTGCGTGTGACGAGGGCCCTTCCGCCTGCAGCTCCTGGGAGGAGGTGCTCCCGTGTTTGCCTTGGTGGGGAGGGGAGGAAAAAAGAACTGCACACACCAAAAAAACCCCTAACACTAGGCTTTGTTTACTGACTCTTTGATTTAATTACTGTTTGAAGAGGCCGGAATTAGCTGTTAATTGATTTAATTATCCAATTTGTTTGTTTCAGGCATGATTCCAACGGAGCTGCAGCAGCTCTGGAAGGAGGTGACGGGTGTGCACACTGCAGAAGAAGCCACGAGCAACAACCCCAGCAGCCTGGACCTGACCACCTGTGTGTCCTCCTCCGCCCCCGCCAAGGCCTCCCTGGTGATGAACCCGCACGCCTCCACCAATGGCCAGCTCTCGGTGCACACGCCCAAGAGGGAAAGGTAGGCAGGGGCCTGGGCCCCGAAGAAGGCTGGCTGCGGCCTGGGAGGGCAGGTGGCCTGACCCCACCTGGCCCAGGGCTCCCTAATTGGATCAGTGTGTCTTGAACGTGCCTGTAATTACGTAACAATGTATTCATTATGGTGTGGGTGTGAGCATCTAATTGTTTTCACCTTTTCAACATGGAATTAGTACGGCTGTAGATCTCACGGGCTTAGGGCCAGGCAGAAGTCTTGGAGTGTCTCATTGGGTTAGATGTCAAGACTTCCAGGTCCTCTGTCTGCCAAGTTCTCCCCTGGTCAAGCTCAGTTTCTGGGCTGTGAGCACCTGCTGGTACCAGGCGCATCTGCTGTGGGCGATTTCGCATCGTGGTTTGAGAAACAGGACTTAATTTAGGCTGTGCTGCCCTTGTAAAGGTGGGAAGCCCGTCTTCGCCTTCGGTGTGTCCCCAAAGCACATGGTGCGTGTAGACCTTGAGTGAGGGCGTGCGGCTGGAGGGGTGCAGATGGCCTTGTTTCTGCACCCAAGCTTCCTCAGCACGGTGGTCACAGGGTCGCCTCTCTCCTGCTGCCTTCCTGCCCTGAGCTTACGAGTTCATAGTTTTCAACATGTGTGTTCACGGAAGCCCAGGTTGGCTCGGAGGCCTGGAGGACGTCATGTGCACAAGAAGTTCTAGGAAAGCCAAGCTGTTGATCCCTGCCGTGGTTCCTTCCGCCCAGGCGTGTTCCTCGAGCTGCCAGGGTGCTTTTCCTGAGCAGAAAGCGCCCCTAAGATTGACAGCTCTTTCCAGCTTACTCTTTTCTAAACTGTTTCCTGTGTGTTTCACACACACAGCTTCCACACACAGAAGAGGAGACCTAAACAGCAGGATGTGATAGTAAATGCTGCTTCCATCAGGAAGAAGCAAGTTCTGGATTTTGTTCTTAAATAGCAATGACTCCATAAAAATATGAATTATATATTTCAGTTAAGCAGCTGCAAACATGATTTCATATCTTTCTCATGGTGTTGAGCATCATAAGGCCACTGGTGTAATCAGGTACATATCTTTATATCAGAAAATAGTCATCTGTTTATATAGAGTCAAGATCTGATCCACATATATAATAGTGGTCCCATAAGATTATAAAGGAGGGAAAAATTCCCACCACCCCATGCCTCATGGCCATGCGGGGCCAGCCCACAGGGCGCTACTTGGGTGTTGTGGGGACACGAGAGTCAACAGCAGTGTATGCCAGTCATACACACACAACACACATGCAGTTACCCACGCGCAGTCCTGGCTGGTGATGAGTGGTACCGTTACTGGTCCACACACTTCCTCTGCTATACTCGTCAATCACCATTTTAGAGTGTGCTCCTTCTACCTATTAAAAGACATCATTGACAATGAATAGTATGTCATGTTAGCCAGCGGCAGGCTCAAACCTCATGTTGACCCCGTCTCCCATGCGTCTTTTCTCTTGTGCCTGGGCTAAACTCATGCACTGTGGGCCTGGGAGCAATGGGTTGTGCTGCGCATGTGACCCCACGTAGCCCAGGCAGGCTGTGTGAGTACACTGGTGATGTTCACACACCCCCAAAGGGGCCAACGACCACACTTCTCAGACTGCATCCCTTGTCAGGGACACACAGCTACACATATGCATACGCACACACGGGTATTATGTTTGAGCCTAAACAGCAGAAATGAGAATAATAAATATGTTCCCACCAGAACTTGGGACTCGCCTGTAAGATTTCCTTGTTTACATCTCCACGGCAGGTGTGAAAAACTAAAAGATGCTTTACAGGGACTAGTTGAGAACAGTTTGAGGAACAGGATGGGGCACAGGGCGAGGCTGCTTGGAGCCACTGGCCAGAGTGTGGCTCCCCTTTGCAGTGGGGAAAGACACGCATGGCAGGAAGGTGGCCTCAATCCCTGCTTTGTCATCTCCCCTCATGTCTTTATCATCATCATCATCATCATCATCATTTTTTCTAAATAGAAAGTCTTAGATAGCTTGAAAGGAGAGGCTTGGGGCTGCTGCCCTTTGGTGGACTTGCTTTTCCTATCCTAGGGTGGCTGTGGTCCATTTGCTGCTGGACAGTTGAATTGCATCTCCATCCACAGGCCTGGGAGGCCTGGCACTCAGAAGTGTGGACGGGTGCACTTGAGGTCTCCCTGCAGTCTTCTCACGGGAGGGCGAGGGGTGTCCCCTGGCGGTTCTGTCCTTGTGTAGATGCAGCCAGGGGATAGGTGGGTGTCTTAAGGCACGTTGGAGGCTCAGTGGCTCCAAGGGACACTGGTTCCAGGATGCTCTGCTGGTTGGGTTCTTCTCTCAGGACGTGCATGGACACTGTGCCTTGTCTCCGTGTCTCCATTTCGATACATGAAAATGCCAGAGTTAGACCACGGGTCGGAAGAGAGCTGGGGTTCCAGGGAGCCTGCGCCTGGGTGTAAAGACAGGCTGGCGTTCCAGCTGTGTGCTCAGGGAGGACACAGCGACACTCCATCACGTCATCTCCTGATTCTCTTGGCTTAGAGGAAATGTGGCCAGACTCAAAGAAAGTCCTCCCCAGTGCAGTTTCTTGTGTTTTATTGTTTCTGCTGCTGGGGCTGGAGCCCAGGGCCTGGTGCGCACTCTCCCCCTGAGCTGTGCCACTGCCCCACCCCAGTCAGCACGTTTTCACTGGCTGTAGCCAGGAAGGCCAAGAACACCTTCACTTAAAGATAATTCAACGCTTTTAAGCTTATAGAATTGATCATTTAAAAAATCAATTACTCGTCGGCCAGCTTTGTATGTATATAGGTACTTAAAATGAATATTCCCTATTATGATTAATTTAAAAGTCCCATGTGTGATGTGCGGTTTAAATAGTGGGAAATGGTGAAGGAAAGGGAGAAAGCCTGCTGCTGTCCCTAAGGGCGTGTCCTCCCTGAAGCTGGCCGGGAGCTGGCCCTTCCTTGCTAGTTCTCCTGTGAACACGGGTCCTCGAGAGCCCTGCCTCCACTTCCTGGGGCAGAGCTTTCTCTTTGCCCCGTTCTCGTGGAACATCACGCCCAGCGCCCGCCCCTCCACCCGACTGACTCCCGCCTGGGGTGGCTCTGTGGGGAACCTCGTTGGGAAAGGCAGTCCTGCGAGAGTTTGGGTGCATGGTTAGAGTCGTGGTGTGTCTGATGTGCGTGGCACCCGGGTGGCAAGTCTCCCTGCCATTTGGAAAACTCCTGCCCCCCCAGTCCCCCACCCTGGCCTGGTGCGTCTCCCGTGAGCAGCCTCTGCCACAGCAGCTCTGGGGTCTGGTGAGCAGCAATCTGTTCAGGAGATAAATAATGTGGTTGGCACGCCACTCCTACTCTCCTCTTTAATTTGTCTTACACAAGGAAAATTATAATTAAATCATTCAGGGTAAACCCTTGAGTGCAGAGAAGGGGAAAAGCACACTTTGGGAAAGATTGCCAATAGAAACCCACTTCCCTGTTGCGCGGGGCAGAGACGTTTATCAATATTCAGCAGTGTTACTGCAGGAGCAGCCCATGTGGTTTGGGAGGCGGAGGCCAGCGCTGAAATCAAGGCTTGTTAAGATCCTGTCCCCGAGAAGCCGCGGACACTCAGCATCATTAGAATTCAGTACTGGTGCTGCGCTTCCTACTTTGATTTTTCTCCTGACAATTTAATAATGTTTATTGTGCTGATTACATATAAATTCACTGGTGCAATAAACATACCTCTGTCGTCAGGGCCTTGGAGAAGCACCGTGGGGATGCATTCGGCGGGCAGAAGCTGGAGGGGAACAGGCACACCAGGTTCCTGCTCTCCTGTCTTCCAGGGGATTGGGGAGTTGTGACCCCTTCTGTAACACAGATGAGTCTCAGGCTGGGCAGGTTCTGACCTTGAAGGCATGTCCCTTCAAGTTGTCGGACTGTCTCACTTTAGAAAATTCCAAGTTGGGGTGTGGGTAAACAGAATCAACAGAATGCAAATGAAACATTTATTAAAATGCTAAATTTAGTAAGCCCTTTGAGCTTTTTGGATCAAAGCAGCTATGTAAATACAAATAGCAATTACTACTTAAGTAATTGCCTGAATTAAAATTCTAAATATCACATTATGTTATGGTGCACTAGGGAAGGGAGAGAGGGCGCTCAGTCAATCCCCTCCCTGTGCCATGCGCAAAGGAGCCACAGCCCACGTTATGCACGCTGCTGCACCCAATTTGCAGATGAGGAAATCACGTTACAGGTCGCAGAGCCAGCTGGTGGCGTGCCCAAGATCCAGGTTCAGGTCTGACTTTGCATTTACAGAACAGGACTTCAAGTTTCCATTCAGTTTGGAGGTGAATGCTGAGTTATGATATGTTGAAATCTGTATCTCTAAAAGAAATTTCAAATTGAATTTAAAATTCAGTGATTCTAAATTTTAAATAATGTTCAATTTTATTCAACTTAAAATTTAATAAAACCTTTATTGACTTAACCTACTATGTGCAAATCATAGCGCTTATGTGAGGGTAGTAGCGTTTCCTCTTTTATGGAACATAGAGACCTTTACTGGGCCTCTCATGGAGGCTGGCGAACCCCCAAACAGAACCCAGTGCGCAGCGTGGATGCCCTGCAGGATCTGCACACAGGCCAACGGGAGGACAGTCCTGCCCCTGGAGCGTCCTCGCCCTGTCCTGCCTGGTTACCCTGCAGCTTCTGCTGGATGCCTCCTGCATCTGTGGGGCTTCCGCTGTCTTCCGTGGTCCACAGAAGCAGTGCTCCTTTGCCCAGAGCCTTCCCCGCTCTTTGCCTTCAGTTTGGCCATCGGAAGAGGTCTTATAACTCACTCCAGCACCGCTGCTGCCTGGCTCTTCTAAATACTTGTTACAAGGCTTCCTTAAGCATTTGCTCAGACATTTCCTTGAACTCTGCAGAGCCTGAGCTTGGGTGGACCCTGCTTCCTCCAAGGCCATCATACTCTCTCTCCGCAGAACCCAGCAACCCCAGTGCGGTCCTGTCTTCCATGAGGTGTCACCTGCC